GATTTTATTCTTTTTCATTAATGAGCTCGTTGATATACTGTTCTTTCAATCGTTCGCTGATGTACTTTTCATTGTTCAGAATTTTACTGATCGCATATTTAAATACATCCGAACTGGCATGTTTGGAGAGAAAACCATCGGCACCTGCGTGAATATACCGTAGACCGAATATCTGCTCATCGTAACAGGTAAACATCAGGATTTTTGCCTTCGCGTGCCGTAGCTTCAGCACGTTGATCATATCTATATTACCACCGCCTGGTATCTCAATATCCAGTAAGATCAGGTCCGGTTTCTCATTATTGGTTACATCTACCGCCTCTTCAAAAGTAGAAGATTGCCAGATTGCGGCTCCCGGTATCATTTCACGTATCAGAATAGAAGTGCCCAGCCTTATTATACTATGATCATCGACCAATAAAATGGTATTAATCCCTTCCATAAAACCATGTTTGCAGAATTAACGCAACATTTTTTGCAGTAATTTTTTATTTAATAGTATAAAAGTAAATAAATTCCCGGCAAAAAAATGAAACAATACAAGCGCTTTAAACATAATTTTTATTTTCAAAAGATAAATAAATTGAATTTAACATAAATAAATACAGTAACAACTATATGTATGCACATGAAAGAGCCGCCTTTCTTTCAAAAGGCGGCTCCGCCGGGTAGAACCGGTTCGTCTTTATTACTATTTTCTTATTTCAAATCGTTTTACTCCTTTCTGACCATCGGCAGTTACCTGTAGCAAATACAAACCAGCAGCCTGGTTATCCAGCTGAATAGCTGCTTTCCATTCACCTGAAGTTATTTCCGTAGTGCGTGTATAAACAACCTGTCCCAGCATATTAAGTACATGAATGGTTGCTTCCTTTCCATTCATGTGGCTTTGCCATTGTCCGCTAACGGCAAAGCTGCCATTGTTCGGGTTAGGTGTCATACCAAAATTGTTAAGGCTCAGTAAGGTGTTACTAATACCGGTACCGGCATTGATAACCAGGTTACCACTAAATGCAAAAACAGGAGTCGCACACCGGTCGGAACTGGTCAATCGTACGCGGATATGGTCGCCGCTACGCAATGTATTGCTGGTATAGGTGGCATTAACAGCGCCCGGAATTTCAGCTCCGTTCTTTGTCCATTGGTAAACAGGTGTAGCACCGCCATTAATACCGCTGGCCGTAAAGGTGACCCACTGCCCGTCTGCAATCGCAGTTCCCGGATTGGCACTGATAGAGACTGCCGGAACTACATTTGGCGTAACACGCAGCCCCAGGCGGTTACTGTTTACTACAGGATTAAGGACACATTCCTCATTGGAAGTCATCACACAAAATACACTATCTCCATTGCCCAGCTGAGTGGTGGAATAGGTAGGCGCATTGGTACCTACAACGGATCCATTTTGCCACCATTGGAAAGCGGGAGCAGATCCGCCATGTACGGTATTAGTTGAAAAGGTAACACTGGTGCCGGCACAGATATGGGTGGCTGCATTCATATTTACATTGATGCCTGGTACCGCTGCTGGTTTTACAATAATAACGATCGTATTACTCTGGGCCGTTGGCGAAGAAGGGCACTTATAAGCAGTATTCAGCCTTACACTGACACTGCTGCCGGTGGTAAGTGAGCTGGTTGTAAAGGACGGTCCTGTTGTAACATT